CCTAGTGATTCATTGAGTGTTTTTATTACGTGTCTACACCGGTGGGTGATTCTATTGTAGTCAATCGAGTCCATTACTCTTGTGTTGTGCTGATTAGGGGTCTTGAGACTAGTGTATATTTGTTGCTTTTAGACATGGTCGATTTCGATGTTATATTGAGGATGGACTGGTTATCACCTTACCATGCTATCTTGGACTGTTATGCCAAGACCATGACCTTAGCTTTACCGGGTATGCCTCGTTTAGAGTGGAGAGGGACTCCTGGTCATTCTACCTGCAGTGTTATCTCGTATGTGAAGGCTCGGCATATGGTCGAGAAGGGGTGTTTGGCCTATTTGGCATATGTTCGTGATTCTAGTGCCGAGATTTCCTCTATTGATTCTGTGTCCATTGTTCGTGAGTTTCCTGAGGTATTCCCTTCAGACTTGCAGGGTATGCCACTCGACAGGGATATTGATTTTTGCATTGATTTGGCTCCGGGCACTCAGCCTATTTCTATCCCGCTGTATCATGTGGCCCCGCCTAAGTTGAAAGAGTTGAAGGGGCAGTTGCAAGACTTGCTTGAGAAGGGCTTCATTAGGCCTAGTGTTTCACCTTGGGGTGCGCCAATGTTGTTTGTTAAGAAGAAGGATGGGTCGATGAGAATGTGTATTGATTATCGACAGTTGAACAAGGTTACGATCAAGAATAAGTATCCATTACCGAGGATTGATAATTTGTTTGATCAACTTCAGGGTGCCAAGGTATTTTCAAAGATTAATTTAAGATCTGACTACCATCAGTTGAGGATTAGGGCATCCGATGTCCCTAAGACAGCTTTCCGCATTCGGTACAAGCATTATGAGTTCTTTGTTATGTCATTTGGGTTGACCAATGCCCCAGCAGCTTTTATGGACTTGATGAACCGAGTGTTCAGGCCTTATTTGGACTCGTTCGTGATAGTCTTCATTGATGACCGCAGTCCTGTGCGGTCCGCGGTCGGTTTCGTGCGGGGCGTGGTGGAGGCCTGTACGACCGCAGTCCATTTTGTGCGGTCCGCACAGGGGGTCTGAGAGGGGTATAAATAGACGAGATTTTCAGTTATTTTGCATTTTTTCAAAACCCTAAAAACATAAGAGGCGATTTTTCAAACAATCCTTCTTCTCCAAATCAATTGTAAGTCGTTTTAAACTAGTTTCTCCAATCATTAACCTCTTTTAACATGATTTCAACTTCAAATCAATGATTTTCATGGGGGAAATTGGGTGTTTTGGGTACAACCTAGGTTTTTTCAAGAATTAGGGATTTAGACCTCGCTTTGAGGTCCGATTTCAAAACAAATTACATATTTGAGCTCGTGGGGGAATGGGTAATCGAGTTTTGGTTCGAACCTCAGGTTTTGACCTTGAGTTGTGTTTGAGGCATCGAGGTAAGTGTTTGGTCTAACCTTAGCTTGAATGATTAGGAGTTGTGTCTTATTTGCTATATGTTAATTGTGGAGTACGACGTATAGGCATGGTGACGAGTATCTATACGTTGGTGTCAAGCATGCCCGTGAGTCTTATATTATAATTGTTATGACTCCGTTGTGGTTTATTGCGCTTCATATGTTATTATCACCATTGTTCCCTTGCCGGGATATTTGTTTTGACAGTATTGTTCCCTTGCCGGGATGTTGTTGAAATATCATTGTTCCCTTGTCGGGAAGTTGTTATATTGCTCTTGTTCCCTTGCCGGGATTCCCTGTGATTATTGTTGGCTTGTAAATGGGAGCGGGTGGTACACATACCACAAGATATGATAAAATGGGAGCGGGTGGTACGCCTACCACAAGATATAATGAAATGGGAGTAGGTGGTACGCCTACCACAAGATATGATGAAATGGGAGAGGGTGGTACGCCTACCACAAGATATGATGAAATGGGAGTGGGTGGTACGCCTACCACAAGATATGATGAAACGAGAGCGGGTGGTACGCCTACTACGAGATAAAATGAAATGGGAGCGGGTGGCACACCTGCCACGAGATACAGGAATCGGGATCGGGTTGCACGCCTGCAACAAGATGTGAAAAGAAAATGAAATCTGCCTTTGTTTTTCCTCATTCTTGTTAATGACTGATTTTGATTCCTTCATAATTCCCTTGATGTTCTGTTTACCTGTTATTCCCCGAAGCATGTTTCCCCCTCCTATCTTTATTTGTTATTTCTGTATTTCTTTTCTACCGTGTATATATAATTGCACAAATTTATCTGGAGTCTGGTCCTAGCCTCGTCACTACCTTGCCGGGGTTAGGCCAGACACTTACCAGCACATGGGGTCGGTTGTGCTGATGCTACACTCTGCACTTTATGCAGATACCAGAGCAACACTTGGTCAGCAGCAGTAGGGGAGCCAGCCTTCAATCCACCGAGACTCCGAGGTAGCCCTGCAAGCGTCCGCAGGCCCGGCATTTCTTCTATCAGTTATTTTGTTCTGTTATCATTGTATCCGAGACAGACATTGTTCATTCTTTCAAACATTTGTATGTAGTAATCAAAGATAGCCCGTGAATGTCGTGACACCAGTTCCTGGGTAGATGCATATGTGGAGTTTCTTATCATTTTGGTTCATTTTATCTAAGTCTTCCACTTAATCTCATATTCCGCTGTTATTTAACTGTGTATCACTTGTTAATGTATGTTATAAAAAGGATTAAAACAAAAGAGTTAAGGATTTCTAATTTCGTGGCTTGCCTAGCTTCTACTGGTAGGCGCCATCACGACTCCCAAGGGTGGGAAATTTGGGTTGTGACAATTATACACTATATGCAGGTTATATTATAATTTCCCTGCCGTAGCCTCGTCACTACCTCGCCGAGGTTAGGCTCGACAGTTATCAGTATATGGGATCGGTTGTACTGATACTACATTTTGCACTTTTTGTGCAAATTTTGGAGCTGGTAGTGGACGATTGAGAGATTGGCTGCAAATTACACAGTTAGGAGACCCAAGGTAGTCCTGTTGGCATCCGCATGCCATGGTGTCCCCTTCTACATCTCTATATTACTGTTTTATTTATTTATAAAATAAATGTAATTTCTTTCAGACCAATATTTGTAGAAAATTATAGTATGTTCGTGGATTGTGACATCGATTTTTGAGTAGTAATAGCAATAGTGTTGGTAATAGTATATAAACAAATAGGCTATCTACTTATTTCTGCAATTATTTATACTTGTTTTAGTTTGTTTACTTTTAATCATTGAAACGTATGGCTAATAATACTCTAACGTTGGCTTGCCTAGCAAGTGTGATGTTAGGCGCCATCACGGTCCCGATTGTGAGAATTCTGGGTCGTAACACTACCCCTAATAACCTATACAATTGGAAACTAATAAGCAACTAACTAACAAACTAACTCGCCAATTAACTAATAATTAATCTATGTCTTAACACCGCCTTCTCTCAAGTTGGAAGTGAGGGAAGCACAACCAACTTGGTTAATATGACAGAATGTTTGATGCCTGTCAAGGCCTTAATTAGGATGTCTGCCAATTGAGCACTGGTAGTGATGTGGTGCAAGGAGATGAGTCCTTCTTGAAGTTTATTATGCATAAAGTGGCAATCGACCTCGATATGTTTGGTTCGTTCATAAAAAAAAGAATTCCTGGCTATATGTAGTGCATATTGGCTATCATAGTAGACATCAATTGCTTGAGTAAAAGGAACAATAAACTCTTCAAATAGTCTGCTCAACCATACCAATTCTCCTACAACCTTTCTAAGTGACATGCACTCTGTTTGTGCAGAAGATAACGAGACCGTTTCTTGCTTCTTGGACTTCCAGCGAACAAGACTGTGTCCTAGCAAGACAATATAACCATCGGAATACTTTCTAGAATCTAGACATGCTACCCAACTAGAATCACAATAGGCTCTCACAATGTAGTCCTCATCTTTGGAAAATAATAGCCCCAATGTTGGATCATTTCTCAAATATTTGAGCAGGTGAAAGGCTGCCTTAAGGTGAGGCTCTCGGGGTCCTGCATGAATTGGGTAAAGTGTTGGACCCCATACGCAATGTCTAGTCTGGTGTTGGTTAGGAAATTGAGTTTGTACACCAAATTTCTATAATAAGTGGGATCTTGTAATGTGGCACCCTCCTTAGCTTTCAACTTGACATTAGGATCCAATGAGGAAGAAAAACCATTATGGGATAAACAATCATACTCTTTCAATAGGTCTAATGCAAATTTTCTTTGTGATATCACCACACATCTCCTTTGTACAATACTTCCATTCCTAGGAAGTAGTGCAGCTTACCAAGATCCTTAATTTTGAAGCTGGCATGAAGAAAAGCCTTCAGTTAATCGAATTCCACTGCATTGGTGCCTGTGACAACTATGTCATCTACATAAACTGCATTAGTGCCTTCTTACTGTAGAATAGTGAGTAATTGCATTAGTGCCTTCTTTCCAATTAGTGCCTTCTTTCTGTAGAATAGTGAGTAATCAAGCATGGAATGGGTATAACCTCTGGAGAACAATGCCCCACTCATCTTAGCATACCACTGCCTGCTTGCCCGCCTTAGACCATATTATAGACATGTGATTTTTGACCCTCCCCAAGATTTTACATATTTTAGCATGTAAATATTTAATTTAGGCATAATATAACTATTTCAACTCATTTTTACTCTTTTACTTTTATTTTATTACAAGAAAATAAAATTTACAAAAATAGTTTCATTAATGTTTTGTAGTCATTTTAATATTGAAAAATACCAAAAATAGTTTGTTTTAACGGTCAGTCTTGTTTTAATAGTTATTTTACTTAAGTGTGATTAATTAATAAATAAGGTCGCATTTATGAACTCGTTCGCGGGGAAAAAATAAAACTTGGCTCGAGCAACCCATTTTTAGGCCTAATTTTGGACCTAGCCCATAACTCCCAAGCCCATAATTCCTAGGCCCATACCCCTAACTTAATTCCTACCCCTATATAATAGTACCTAATCCCTAAACGAAGGACCACGCCAAAAAAATCTGAAGAGGAGATGAGCCGAAAACACCCATAAAACGGCTGACCTACCCATCGAAAATTTAATCTCTCTTTGATTTGGAGAACCATGGAACTCCACCTCCTTGACAAAAGCAGTGGCCAAAAATCTCAAAGGCCCTTCAAAAGAAATTCAACCGAAAATCTAGGGACCTAATTCCTAAAGTCTAACTTGCCGCGACTTCATTTTTTTGTTTGTCAAGTGAAAAGGAACTCACACACACAAAAAATATAGAAAGAAAAAAAGGAGGTTTTGATTTTTAAATCTTCTTTCGAGTTCAATTTTCAAAAAAAAAAATAAATAGAAAAATCAGTTTTAGCTTAGCTTCTCATTTCAAAAAATAAAAATAAAAAATATTCTATGTCTTTCTTTCAATTTTTGTCCATGGAGGTCGATTGAAGAAGCGTTGGGGATTCTGGTTGGTATTTGATTTTCCTTTCATTCGAGATTAGATTCTGAGGTTCCGTCTGTGGCTCGTGGTATGTTCTGTTGCCGTTTCGATTTTTCGGTCAACATTTCAACACCGGATTCGCTTGTAATCGTTGTACCGAATAGAGGCATACATCAAAGAATTTTGTAAGAGGTCTATTTACTCTTCTCTCCCTTTATTTTAATTTGGTATTTGTGAATTGAAATATGATGCTAGCCCGTCTCTTGTTTGTTTTTGAGGTTTAATAATCTGTGGTGGCTTGATAATTTTTTTTTACGATGATTAGATGCACTGTTTTAATGGTTCTAGTTTCACTTATTTTCGTAGTGGTTAAATCTTGATTATTGTGGGAATTTTTTGATCTTATGTTATAAGCTAGCTTCAAGTGGGGGTTCCGTCTGATAACCGTGATAACTACCCGAAACTTGATTTGCTGAAATTCTTAGTCGTAGAGTATTTATTCATGAGTAATGTACTTGATAGTATGACATTCCTTTTTCCCTTCAAAATATATTATAGGCTAAAACATGTATTAAAATTAGATAATGGGCCAATTATAATAGTTTAAGCGACCGTGCTAGAACCACGGAACCCGAGAATGCCTAACACCTTCTCCCGGGTTAACTGAATTCCTTAACCGAATTTCTATGTTCGCTGACTATAAAATAGAGCCAATCTTTCCTCAATTCGGGATTTGAACCGGTGACTTGGGACGTCATAAATTTCCCAAGTGACGACTTTGAATCTTTTAATAAATAAATCCCGTTTCGGTTGTATTTTAATTGGAAAAACTCCCTTATATATGTCTTCGGGTGTGTAAAAAGGAGGTGTGACAGCTCTGGCGACTCTGCTGGGGATCATAACCTAGAACTTTGGTTCAGGGTTCAAGAATTTGAGCTTAGAATAACTGTTATACTTGGCTTTTATTTATTATCTGATTTTTTACATGTTTGATCCTAATGTGCTAAATGCCACTTTTTACTGCTTTAATATTGTTTGAACTGTATATAAATTGTTACGAAACCCTCTTCTCTCTGAGTCTTCTAAATCATATGGGAAGTGTGCACTTCGTGTGACTTCTTTTCTGTTAGAGTCATATCCCGATTTCAGAACGAGGTTCAGACAAGTTGCAAAGCCGGTGAAGCTTCTGTATTCCCGGTATGCTGCCCCCCTGCTCGAGCTGTCCGCTTGGGTAAGCCAGGTTTAGAACAATACACCCAGGTTTTAAACCTAGAATAGCATAGCCCCATGCCTGATCCCTAGTAGGAACACTTGTTTGCATCACGTGCATTTGACTCAACACAGGGGTTGGGTCCGTCTAGGACAGGTGTACCCAAATTAAAAGACCATCCTGATGCATCTTATGTGATACTTGTGTATCTGTCTGTTTCGGCTTGCATGTTGACTGGATTCTAGAATACAGAAAGAAAATGAAAAAAAAAGAGAATCACAAAAAAGAGAAAGAAGAAAAAAAATATCAAAGAGAAAAAAAATCAAGAGTGAGAAGTAGGTATTTGAATTATCCTGAAACTCTGCCGAAATTTTGAAAAAAGAGGAAAAGTCATTTCAAAATAAGTCAATTTCTATTTCGTCAAAACTGGGCGAACTACGCGGGTCTGATTCTCACCGGATGTGAGATATGTAGGCAAACCTCATCGGTTCCGGCCCATAATTTTCAAAAATCCAAAAAATATTTTTCTTTACTTCCTCTCTAGAAAAGTCTTTTCAATTTCAATTCTTAACATTTTCCAAAAATATTTGTCATTACTTGCTTCTTTAGAAAGCCTTTCTTGTAGACCCTAATTGTTTTTTTTTTAAAAATATTTCTTTTAATTTCTTACAAAAATCCAAAAATATTTTCATTTTTCTTTCAAAATTGAAAAGAAAATTCAAAATTAAAAAAATATTTTCTTTTTTTAGAAGCATTTCTTTCATAAATTCAAAATAAAATTCCAAAAATATTGTCTTTCTTTCGAAATTCTAGAAAAAAGAATTCAAAAATTCTTTAGAAGTCTTTCTTTGCAAAAATACTGGAAAAAAAATCAAAATCCAAAAATGTTCCTTTTCTTCTTTATAAGTCTTTCTTTAAAAAAAATAATAAAAAATTCAAAAAAAGTTAATTTATTTACTTTATTCATGATCTTTCCGAACTATGCAAGATCTGATTCATGCGGCGCCATGATACGTAGACAACCCATATCAGGTTCGATCGACCATTTTATTTAAAAAATGAAAAACGAAAAAAAGAAAAGAAAAAAAAGTAAAAAAGAAAAAAAATGATGATAATAATAAGGAGTGACTGAGTCTATTCTAACATGTTTTGTTTTGAATTGTGAAGAAAGTTGAGGTGGTCGGTTTGTGATAAGCGGACAACACAAGATCCAAGAAAAAATGATAACTGACACCGAAGCTGTTACAAGTGCTCAAGAGACTCAGGGTCAGAGGGTTCGACAAGAGGCTACTGTGTTTGAGAAAAATAGAATACTGAAACAGCAAATGATCAAAATGTGTCAAGCATGGGCCAATGACCAAGGACAGCCAAGTTATGAGTCACAATTTGCTACCCAGCAAGAGCAGTACCACTCTCTTGAGTACCACTCGTATTTGTTTGACCTTCCTGCAAAGATTGAGGAGCCTTCCCGAGAGATGGCACAGAAAGAAATGACCCAAATGGTGAAAAGCTTAGAACAACAGTTGAAAAACATGCAAGGATTGGCAGGTCAGAAGAGTATCGCCTTCAAGGATCTATGTATGTTCCCCGATGTCCACTTGCCGCCTGGCTTCAAGACTCCCAAATTGGACAAGTATGACGGACATGGAGACCCTATGGCCCACCGGAAAAGGTATTGCAATCAGCTAAGAAGTGTGGGAAGAAATTAAGAATTGCTAATAGATTATTTTGGGGAAAGCCGTAGGGGAGTAACATCCGAATGGTTTATGGTTCAAGACACATCTCGCTGGTACGTCTGGGATGATATGGCACAGGACTTTGTCAAACAGTTCCAATACAATATTGACATTTCCACGGACTGCAATTCCCTTTCAAACCTGAAAAAGAAACCAACTGAAAGTTTCAGGGAATATGTCATTAAATGAAGAGAGCAAGTGGCTAGAGTTAAGCCACCCATGGATGACCACGAGCTAATCATTGTCTTTCTTCAGGCTCAAGAGCCAGATTATTTTCAAAACATGATGTCTGCAATGGGTAAATCCTTCGCAGAAGCAATCAAAATGGGGAAATGGTTGAGAATGGTCTTAAGACAGGCAAAATTATAGGTCAAGCAGTTCTCAAAACCGCAACTCAGGCTGTCCAGATCGAATCTGATAATTTTAGTGACACGGATGAGAAGGACGAAGAAATCATGATGCCATCAGGGTCGAAAAGAGGTCCCAGGAGAACATCTCAAAGGTATGAGCAGCCTCATTAGGTTTTCCATGACTCCCCAGAGCAGTATTATCCACCTTAGAACCCTCAATACTTTGCCGCTCCACCTCAGTATGTTGTCCAACCATCAAAACACCCCAGAAGGCGAGCACGAGCATAACGAAATCTCCAACAGCCTCCACAAAATTTTCAGGTGCCCTATAACCCACATCCAAGCCAGATGTATAAAGGAGAACAAAAGTTGAAAGATAATTTCACACCAATTGGAGAGTCCTATGCAAGCTTATTTGAGAAACTAAAGCATTATGACATGATTGCACCTATTCCTCCAAATCATATGGACCCATGTGCGAGAAGCTTTGACCCTTCTAAAAGGTGTGAATACCATTCCAATGCCCAGGGGCACAATGTTGAAAGCTGTCGGGATTTGAAAAGAGAAATAGAAAAGATGATCCAGGAAAACCTGATTGTGATCCAAGACAGTGACACCCAGAATATGACGCAGAATCCTTTACCTGCACATCATGATGCACACTTTGTGGGGATGATGCCTGGTGACATGGAGTATGAGAATCCTCTTGGGAACTTGCTAACTGAAGTTAATGATTTTGAAATTGGAGAAGGCTCTGTTGATTCTGATGAGCAAATTTGTGGCTAAATGTCAAGCCTAGCAATTGAAAAGTCATTCTCTCCTCACTAGGAAGTAATCTTGGTAGTTTGTTTTGATGTTTTTTTTTGTTATCTGGGTTATTTTAGGGGTGTGATCCAGATTTTATTTGTTTTATTGAGTCAAACTCTTCTATCCCTTTATTTTGTCAATGTGAGTCTTGTTTGTTTGTTCTGATGCTATTTTCAGTGTCTTGGTTATTTCAAGGTTGTAGTTCGGATTTTAGATTGTTTGTCTTGTTGTCAAACCCTTTCAACTTTTACTCAATAAAATACAGTTTGTCCTTTTGTGTCATTCTGTTCTTAGTTGTTTTCTGGGTAGTTCTAATGACATGATATGCATGCGAAAATTTTGGCCAGATCTTAGAAACTAATTTAATCTGGAGTTGGATAACTGAAAAAAAAACACTTTTGAGGATGAATAAAGGGTTGAAATACTTTGGAATTAAGGTCGAGTAAAATTCACCTTCAAATCATTGTGAAGATCGGGCTTGAGGATGTTTAATCAATTGAAGTTTGTTTGAAAATTTGACATTAAGGGATGGAAAATGTCTTGTGACCACGACACACCAAGAAGACAGACATGTTCGTCAATGCTGTGATCGCGAAAAGATACTATAATTAGCATTCTCGAGGCTGGGAGACCCTTTTTCTGCTACCCAAATACTTTATACCCTTTGTCACCCCTTTGAGCCTGTGTTATTTTCTTTGACCACCCTCTTTTGGAATCAAGTTTAGAGTCAAGAGTAAAAAAAATGAAAAAAATGAAAAAGAAAAATAGAGTCCATGTGCCAAGAGTACAAAATGGGGCAATTCTTAGAAAGTTCAAGTGAAAAGAAAATGAAGAAGAAAAGAATTGTCAAAGGTCCATACCCTCAGAAGATAGAAGCTGGGGCAAACAAAAGAAAAAAAAAGAGAAAGAAAAAACAAAAGAAAAAAAAGAAAAGAAAAAATACAGAAAGAAAAATAATAAAAAATCATTAGTTAGGTCAGATGTTTGAACTATGTTAGACCTGATTCCTTAAAAAAAGATACGTAGGCAGCCTCATGGTTCGGTCCAACTAAATAAGAATTTAGAAGAAAAAGAAAAAATAGAAAAAAAACAAAAATCCCCAATATCTGAACCGGGGGAAAGATTTTATTTCACTTTTGAAATAGTCGATTCCAAGAGTTGTAAGTCTAAAACCCTTCATTTTGAGCCTACTTTGAGCATTCATGCCGACCCTTCTTTCCAACCCCATCCAAAATCTTTCCAAATAAAGACCTCCTGATATGCCTTCGAGAATGCAAAGAGAAGCATGCAATGAGCAACGGTTCTCACGCGACAAACACTGTCAAGTTGCTCGCACAAGAAAGCAAAAGAAAAAGAAAAAGAAAAGAAAATTGAGAGAGTTTTACTAGTGAAAACCCTCATGGGCACTGTAAAATGACGGCAAGCAGAGATGAATAAATGAGAGAGACTTGTTGGTGAAAACCCCCCGGGGCACCACTAGTCGAAAGTGAGTCGTGAAGCTGATACAAAGAATTTGCACGAACAAGCCCGACTTCAAAGCTCATAAGAATGTCAAAATCGAAGATTGGATTAGTTTGATAGATCAGGCCGTTGAGTCTAAAATGCATGTCATGACCATTAAGGTTAGTTATTGAAAAAAAAATTTCTTCCTTCTGTCCTTCCGGCAGGGGCATTTCTTGTTAATATTTTGTTTCTTTGCGCCATTGTATCCTTCACCCTGAGTCAGTCCTTCTCAAAACAAGCAAGAAAAGATTTCAAAATCTGCTACCAACTTTTCAGTTGCACAAAGTAAATTTGGCCAGCACACTCAGCTATTACTTTCAACATGCCTTGAGGATTCATGCAAAGGTTTTCCCCCAAAAGACTCTTGTCAGCCTACTTGGCGCAAGCAAAGATAACTTGTGATTCTTTCTGACAGACAAATTGCTCAAAAGTAGGGAGTCATTCAAGATATCAGAAAAAGTCACTTAAGCAAAAATCTCCAATTGGAATAAGGCTAATTGAGCCACAAATACAAATGGTACTAGGTTTGAAACAATTAGGGTTGATGCAGAGCAAAAGTCTTTTGAAACCTACTCAAGCTGATCGAGCAAAAGTCAAAACTGCCCAAGGACTCAAGGCCACAAACCGACCACCATTTTCAAAACTGACAAATTTTTCTTCGTGTGAAACAGGAACAAAGCAGCGCAAGAAAAATGGTTCAAAAAATAAATAAAAGAAAAACAAAAAAAAAAGAAGAAAAAGAAAAGAAGATAAGAGCCGACAAAGGGAAGTTTCTCAAATCTTTGCCTTTATTTGTCTTGCTATTGTGCATAAAATCTTGCCATTGATCTTAACATTTTTTCCTCCTAGGATAAAAAGTCCTAGTCTGATGGATTTTCCTCCCAATCAAAATCTTAGTCTGATGAATCTTCTTCCTAAGATAGAAGACCTAGTCTGATGAACTTTCTCATAGGATAGAAATCTTAGTCTTATGAATCTTTTTCCTAAGATAGAAGACCTAGTCTGATGAACTTTCTCCTAGGATAGAAATCTTAGTCTGATGAATCTTTCTCCTATGATAGAAAATCTAGTCTGATGAATTTTCTTCTAGGATCAATATCTTAGTCTGATGAATCTTTCTCCTAAGATAGAAACCTAGTCTGATGAATTTTTTCCTAGGATCAACGTCTTAGTCTGATGAATCTTTTTCCTAAGACGCCAAAAAAAATGAAGAAAAAAGAGACCTGGTCTGATGAACTTTCTCCTAGGATCAAAATCTTAGTCTGATAAATCTTTCTCCTAAGATAGAAAACCTAGTCCGATGAATTTTCTCCTAGGATAATAATTTTAAAAAATAAGAAAGAAGGGAAGTCTGAATTTGAAAAAAAGAGGGGTCAATTTTTAGTTTTCTTAAGTTATCAATGTTTAGTTTTCCTGATATCAGGGGGGCCCGCCTGGAGAATCTGGTCAGTTTTTACTTTAGTCAAGCTTAGTTTATAGTTTTCCGCAAGCTCAATCACGTTTAGGAGACGCACATCCTAGTTGAGTCATTAATTTTACTCTCATAATTGCATCCTTCATCAGTAGCGCATGTGATTTATAGTTTTATTAACACTTACAGATGTTCCCAATATCAAACTGGGGTAGGAAAATTTCTTTTGTTTTGTCTGTTTTGTTGTAATCAGGCGCCCACCTGGAGAACAAGGGAAGACAAATCAAGTTTCAATGGAAAGTAGTTTCGAAGGAAGACAACTCAAGTTTCTAGGGAAAGCAGTGTCGAAGGAAGACAACTCAAATTTCTAGGGAAAACAGTTTCGAAGGAAGACAGTTCTAAGTTTCAATGGAAAATGGTTCAAGGTGCAAGGGAAAACAGTGTCAAGTAATAAGAGAAGATGGTTCAAATTCAGCAATCAGGCACCCACATGGAAAAAAGGGAGAATTCAATTCAGAATGCAATTCAGGTCAACAACAAAAGAAGCTCGCATCAAGAATGCGAGTCAGCAGCCCAAGAGGATCAACAGAAGTTAGTCACAATCCAGAATAAAAAGGAAAAAAAACAAAAGAAAGACAAGAAGTGAATCCAAATGCAGAAGTTAATGAAAGATGTGAGCTGCTCAAGACAGGGCTGAGCTCACAAGCTCTATATGTCCCATTTTGGTCTGAAAAGCTGAAGAAGAACGAACTAGCACCTGCAACTAGCAAGCGTCAAGGTTCAAATCTAAAGTCTGCATGAAGAACCACTCAAGACTCAAGATCAAGCTTCAGAAGACTTATAGATAGGAATCTTGTAACTCGTAGTTGATAGGCTTATCTAGTCTTTTTCATGTTTTGATTTTTGATGTAACATCAGGACCGCGGACCGGAACCTCAGCGTAATGGCACCTCGACTGGCTCTTCACCTCGGCATACTCCATCATCTCACTCACCTCTGAACTACACGTGGCCTGATTCCTTTATAGCCAAGGATATGTAGGCAGCTCAGATACCAAGGCTCGGTCACATTCTCCTTCCTCTTAGTTTTTGGTCTCCTTAAATAAGGGTCGGGTCAAAAAACCTGTCTAGTCATTCTTTGTCTGAAAACTCTTCGCGTTTCCAGTCAAAGAGGGGTAGCTGTAGACATGTGATTTTTGAC